GCACGCACACACGCACGCACACACACACACACACACACACACACCTCACTCAGATGACACAAAGAATAATTTTGCAGCAGAGTTGAAAATATAGGCAACAGCTAAAACCATGCAGATGTGTCAAATTTTAGCTTGATGAAAACTTTAATTACTTTATTTTCTTAAGACTATACAGTATACAGTATGTTCTTATGGGTGATATTGGCAAAAAATAATAATACTTATTTGATCACAGTTAATTGCGGCATTTAGCCAATAACAGTTATTATGACGAATAATAAATAACAATTGCACTTGCATGTAGCCAACATTGTGGCCTCGGTCTGCATTCTGACTCTCCTCGTCCTCCAGTTTATGGTGATGTTCCAGTTGATTAAACAAGTTCATAGGGTTAGTGTTAGCATTTGCTCTACGCTGCCATCCACCACTGGGCTCACGTGCTCATCTGATAGTGTTCACTTTATTTCAGTTCAATTCAGAAATACTTTATTGATCCCAAAGGGACACAAAAAATACTAAAATACGTTATCACCACGTCAGTAACTGCAGTAATTGCAAAGTGGCAAATATTCTGACGATTGATTGCACATGATGTGATTTGCCCAACCCTAATCGGTTATTTATGAAAATTGTATAAAACATTCCTACTTTGACTTTGGRTTTTCTTGGTGGAGGCAAACCACACAATGAAAAAAGAGAAGAAAGAAAATCACAAACACAGGACCAAAAACGTCCCATAAACTTCCAACATGTGTTAAAGGGTTAGTTCAGATTTTATTTTGGATTGGGGTTTCTGTGAAAGGATTATTAATGGTTTTGAAAAAGCCCTTTGAAGGACCTCAGTTTGCAGTAACAGAGCTTATGTCCAACAAGAAACAAAGCTAAAAGCTCATCCCAGTGGAGCGAAGGCCAGAGTTATCTTAAGAACTCCGGTCTCAAAGCATATTATTTCAGTTCATGTAGATGCTGTTTTACAAACTTTTACACTGTCATCAATTTGCACAAATAATTACAAGGAATTCTATTATCATTTACAAGTTTAAAAAGCTGCAGCAGCAGCCAACCATAGAAATTCCATTGCAGCTTAGAGCCATTTCTGGTAAAACTATATTACTTACAAAATAACTGCAAAGTGAAATGGAAATGATGACAATGTAAATGTTCCAATGACAACTGTATAAGGTTTCTAAAATTTATTTTGAAATTAGCTTTGTTTTTAGGATGGGAATGGAAGCGTGTGGAGCTAAATTGGAGCTATAATGTTTGTTCAAAAGATCTTTTTAACTGAAAAATAAATTTGAAACAAAAAAAAATACAGAATTGAAACTGGAAAAAAGTCAGATTGTAGTTTTGTTTTCAGTTTCATTTTATGATTGTTATTGTTGTTGTTATTATTATTTTCAGTTTTAAACTTTCGGCCCTGTTTTGGTGTGGGGGCGGGGCCTCAGTTGACAGGGGTATGGAATCATGATTGACAGCTCAACAGAGCAGCTGGACAAAATATTCAGATGTAGCGTTCAGGATCAGTGTTAACCTGAGATGTCTTTAAAACATTGTCAATATTCCATGCTTGTGTGATTGTCAATATGATATTTTTCCACTAAGATTTGTGTTGTATAATGGCATAGGCAGCTTACATCAGCTTACATCAGCTTACATCAGCTTACATCAGCTTTTATTATGTTAATTTTTAAAACCAATCACATAAAAATTGAATATTCAGTTTGTACTTATTTTTTTACTTTTTAACTAAATTTATGGCCCCAGTTTAGCACCACAGAAGTGCTGCTGTTCACAGTTCTACAGCTACCTACTGCTGTATCTGTTTGCAAATATTAGAATCATATTGAAGTAATTGTGTAATGCAGAACTGAGGGCAGTGTCAAATTGTATTTACATAAACCACTATAACATTTTTGATATTTAAATTCTTATAAGGCAATGGCAGTTCACTTTAAGATTTGCAYGTGGACTAGCCGTTTGCTTGTCAGTCCTGCCTGATATAAACTCTGATTCTCCAAACTGAGTTTTTTATTTATTTATGTATTTATTGTCTGCAACAGGTAAGATAAAAACTGTCTATAACCTTTCCAGAATTTTTCAGACTTAAAAATGTGTGAAATATCCCTTTAAACATGTATTTGTCTACCACACTAAAAACACTGTCAGCCTCCTCGCTCACGTCAGCAGCTGGAGCTCCCTCCCTGCATCCACCAGAAGGAAGGCTGTGGTGCCATGGAGAACAGCACCTTACCACAGTGACCCTGCTGGACAGAGGGCCAAGTAACATCAAGCTCTTCATGTCCATCTACATGTTCACCGCCTTTTTTTAAAATAATGTGACCCAATTCTACGACAAGAAGCACAAACTGCATCCAATCAGGCCAAATGCAAAACAACACAATGTGTGTAAAACGCTTGACTGTTGCTAATGGCTTTATTCATGGTTAACTATGTAGGAGGCTGTAGGTAAGTAGAAATTTAATAATAACACAAAAACCTTTAGGCAGTGGGTTCTTATCTTCAGCACCGTGAACAGCCAACTCCCAAGCAGGCAGATGGAAGATGGGCTGTCACTAAATGTAACCAGTTTTATCATTTCTTCTATGATATGAAGATTTTAAAACATGAACTGTGGTGAAAAAGCATCAGAACAAACAGCTCACAGCCTATGTTGACTGTTGGTATATCAGAGGTTATTTCAGGTCTTCCTATGACAAACCTCAGTCAAGTAAATGATCAGAATCTGATTTCTTCATCAGAAGAGGATGGGTGAGTTGCAGATCATGCATACAGAGTTGTCTGGGTAAAACTCAGCCTGTTTGGTTTGTGCGTTTTATTGGACAATTACCAAATGTCTACTCACAGATGAAGACTGCACTGGTGGTGGAGGTGGAGGAGGTGGGGCTCTGCTACTGCTGCTGCTGCTGCTGCCACTTCTGGGTCTTGGTTGGTCAAACAAACTGCTCAAACTGCTGCTGCTGCTTCGGGCAGTGGAGGTCCTGAAATGATAAAAATAAAATAAAATAAATAAAATGATGTTCAGTTGTTTCATCTGTTAAAGAAGTTAAAAAAACATCTTTGTGGAATATTCTCTGAAGATGAACATAAAGTTATTATTTTGTAAACATGAATTAAGTAAACTACAAATACTGTAGTAAAGACATTTCACAGAAGTGATAGATATGTGAAATAACAGAAAAAAGCTTCTTGCCAATTTGATGGTATAATACAATATATTCATGATACTTTAAAAAATAATGTTACCATACTATATAACACAGCACAATACAATGTATTACCAAATACAATGGTATTATTTTTATATGTTACAAAACAGTGCAACATAATGTGGAACGAGATGGTACAATATATACCATGACATGATACAGTATGATATATTATATAATGCAATATGATCAGATACAATTTGATATGATGTGATGTGATACAAAAATTGATATACTACTATGTGATACAATTTCCTTTATGATTTGAGTTTTTTTATTGTATRCAGATTTTTCTTTTGGTTTTTAATGAAAGAATAGATATACAGTACATTGAAATATGATATGATATGGCAGGGGTGTCAAAGTYAGTCACACAAGAGGGTCAAAATTCAAAACTTAATCCAAGACAAGGGCCAGCCTCTGCCAATATTAATTGAAAAAATGTTTTATAACAAATTTGTTCTTGTGACCTATTCCAAATGATATTTTATGTAGAGTTGAGAACATGCACAACCTAACAAAGATGAAATATAGAAAGACAAAGACATTAATTTCCTACTTTGTATTCTGTACCAACAACGTTTTAATATTTCTTAGACAAACATTTTATCACAATCCAGCAAATCAGTTAAACAAATAAATCCCTCACTAAAAAACCAATTATTTGACTTTACAATAAGAGAATAGAGAAAAATATAATTAAAGTTGGTTCTTTGTTGCTCTTTCCACAACAAAATCAAAGATTACTGAAAAATTCTAACCATCTTTTTGGCTTGAAAAGTTGTCCAGCTGTCATGGGAAGAATATATAAAATTCAGTGACGAAAAGTGAAACAAATAAAGTATTTTACATTTAAAATATTACCTTTCTGGCCGGACAAAATGTTAACGAGGGTCAGATTTGGCCTGCAGACCCCGAGTTTAACACATGTAAACTACATGGGAGAAATTTGTTTTAAAGCTTTTGGAACTTTACAAAAAGGATGACACATTCTTTTGAAACATACTCCCTCATCAGGTGTTTTATCATAAACAAATCCATTAACTCCCCCCCACTGTGGGGGTTAAGGGTTCAGCTCTGTCCGGTGAGTTATGAACTCTGTTCATTAAGTGAAATTAACGATTCGTGTCTGTGGAGTTTTAGTTTCCTCTGAGTCGGTTTCCTCCCAGCGATGGGTCACCCAAATACTTGAAGTAGTTCACTTGATCACTCCCGGCATAAGTTTTATGCTGACCCTGTTTTAAAACTATTAGCCCCGAAAAATAATAGGGCCAGCCTCAGGACAGCTTTGTATCATTAAAGCCAAACATGGGGCAGCAAGTTTAGTCCTTTGTTTTGTCTTCTTTTATTTTTGTTCTTGTTTTGTTTTCATTCCTTGTGGCTAAAACATCATAATAAAGTGATGCTTCCCAAAAAGTCAACAGTTACATAAAGCTGTTGGAAACTATTTGGCTGGGTGTTTACCAGGAGCTCATTGATATCGGAGGATCATCCACTGATTCCACATACGCAGCTGGAAACCACCCCTGACTGAAAACAAAGGAAAGAGGAGATCAGGAGTTTCATACCTGGAAGACTTAAAGACTTCAATTTCAGTAATACTGTAGGTCAAATAAAAGTTTGGCTGACATTGTAAAAGAGAAAAAAGAAAAAGTCATTGCTCCTTTAGTTCTTTATTACGCCTCTATAACAGATATGTATCCCAAAGCTTCTCACGTCCATTCAAACACAGCTGAACAGCTCAGACCTTGGGCTGCCCTCAACACTTCCGTACAGCCAGCCGTTCCTGGGCTGTTGGACCAGCACGTTGATCATCTGTCCCCTGGAGAAGGGCAGTAAGGTTGGGTTAGAGAGAGAAGGCTGGTGCCCCACCTTGGCCCTCATCAGTGGACCTCCACCTCCACCTCCACCTCTCGAGAGAGAAATGCTTCCCTGTGGAGACGGGGCTGAAGGGGAGAGAAACAAAAAGCTCTTTACTGAAACATCAAGTGGCTGACAAACCTGTCCAACGCAGGATACATTATTTAAAAGAAAATTACAATATTAATGATTAGACTTTATTTTCAAATTCAATTGTAATTTAAATGAAAACATCCAGTTCCATTGATATTCAGATCTACGTGCATTACGATCCTGACACTTCTAACAGTGAGCAGACTACTAAATATTCAGCTCCATCTTAATTTTCTTTGTTTCAGCAGCGGGGGATTCAAATAACTTGATTGTTCTCAACAAGGTGCCATATTTTTCTCCAGTAAGAGAAAGTTTGTCAGCGACAGGCAGCAAGCCTGCTGTTTGCAGCGTTTCAGGATCAGAAAAAAGTTGGCTCTAACGAGAAGAGAAAATTATTGCTTCTTTCTTTTTTTCACTTTAGATGAGCAAGCCACGCGAATGGATGGACGTTCTGCAGAGAGCGTACAAATGAGCTAATAACAGCCCATAATGAGCAAAATTATGAAGGAAGATAAAAGCTGATAAAGTCAAGACCAAACATGATAAGAGCCATAGTCTCAATATTTTACAGATAAAATTAATGAACGAAACAAACCAGTAGTGACTGCAATGCATTGTGGGAGCTTGAAAATGCCAGTTTTTAAAGTTGTTTTTTTATTGTTTAAACATGCTGTAACAGTATTTTCCACTGAATGACTCACCCCTTGATGGTGCTTTGCCCAGCAACAGTGCCTCTTGRATCTGTCTTTGGTCTTCTGCTCGTATTCTCCTCTACAAAACATTTTACAAACACCTGATCAAACATTGATCCCAGAGAGCACAGATTTTATTAGGAGAGCTACAGAGCAACAAGCAAACCTGGTTTTCTTGTTACAGTTTAAAAGAATGGATCAAATTAGTTGAAGCTTTGTCCTATGTAAAGCAACAATAAATATCTTACCTGTTGTAGATAGATCTATATTAATTGATGAATGTTCCGTTACATGTTATCTGCTACTCAGGTAAGCAATAGTTAATACGTTTGTAAGGCTGGGATGCACTGAGAGTATTTAACTTTGGGCTTACGTTGTTCAGTTAGCAATATATTTCTGACTTTCTGTGYAAGCGAACACACCACTTCCCATGGTCCTATAGAGGAACTGGTTGTTGTGCCTGCGATGGTGCAGCAAGCAGGTGATTTCACTTCACAATAGAAAGAAAATTATGAAACAATCAAACCWGTTTTTTTTGTTTGTTTGTTTAAACAGACTATATATAACGTAAGTAGGCAACCCTACGCATGTAGCCTGTTGACTACCAGATGTGAAAGATAATCGCTTTGTAATATTAAGTAGCCAAGCTAGTCTGACATTAATAAACACCATTCGGTCTTACTTGTAGTAGGCTAAATAAAAGTGAAAAGCTAGATTTTTTTTTTACATAAAACATTATTTATGACTAAGTTTTAAAGTGAAATCATAAGATTTATAATATTTCCAATAGAAAGGAATACCTAATCCTGTCTGTCATTTAAAATGAGTTTCATTAAAGTATACAGATTTTTATGTAAATACTTTGCTATTTACATTTATGAATTCACACACAAATTTTGAAATAAAACATWTTAGAGGTAAGTTTTGGTGGATGACTGATATTCTAGACCAGGGCTATTCAACTGGTGGCCCGCGGGCCACTTCCGGCYCGCGAGTGACCAAAGTTCGGCCCGCCAATTGGTTCATTCATCTTTAAGGCCAAACCCCCGGTTTTCTACTTTAATTACTCTAAGTTCTTTTAGTTAARCATAGACATGTTTGGTGTCTACAGAAATGTCAGAATCTTGGCAAGAAGCTGACAAAAACCTATAAAAATTCAAGACAGTTAAAACCACAAGCAGTTGAAGATAAAATGATGAAAGTGAAAATAAAATTGGTTTAAAAATTTGGCAAGACAGAGAATTTAAAATATTATTTGTGTCAAATAGGAGGCATAATGTGTTTTTTTTATAATGTTTAATTATCACTACTTTTATAGGGTTCTGTGTGTTGTATTCATGATTAAATGCAGCAAAATAAACTAATTCAAAGGTAACAGATCTTTGTAATATTTGGTTTATTTACATAATAACTTTAATTTCTGGATGTTTGGCCCCTCAGCTGTTGGCCTGCAGTAACTGTGGCCCCTGGAGCAGTTTAGCTGAATAGTCCTGTTCTAGACGAATAACAGTTTCATAATGTATGGTTGGTGTTAACTGGAAAGTTATTTGTTTAATAATATTGTTTAGCCTTGATTTGTAATTAATTCTACAATGGCACTTTAGTACAAACTATTCACCCATATAATATTATAAAAGTAACTACTTGACCTCTATGTATAAGCCCAAATTAAACAAAAATAACTTGAGTTGAAATCATTTGCTGCCCAGTTCAGAACTCCTCTCTGTGTCCCGGGGTRGTTTCTGTTGCGAGGTTTGTTTTGGTGATTTGTTGGTGTGGACCCAAGGAAGTAGTCTCTTTTATTTGTAGAGACGAATGGGGATCCTTTAAATAAATCAATAAATWAATTAATTTGGTGACTGTTTCTCCAAAGTGTGGTTGTTCACGGAGCTATCTAAAACAGGTAAGCTATTTATTGTTTCCACATAACCTATTCTACAGGATTTGAATGATTGTTTTTAGAGTATTTAGAGTTTTTTTTTTACATTTGCCATTTTTGAGGTTAGAAGCTTTTTCTTGTGAGAGCAGATTATTGATGACAGCAGCTGACAGGTTTGCAGTTTCCAGCTCAAGAATGAACTTTTAATTGTGTCGTGTTGAACCAACAAATCCACAATGACRTTTCAAATCTGCTCCACATCCTGCTATTAGTTAACGATGAGAAACAGGAAGGTGTAAATAGTCTGACTGAGTGCAGATGTATGGGAATGTCTCATAAGCCTGAATGAAGTGAATTACAGACGTGTTTAAATCTTTCATCACACTAAACCAAACACAGGTAATCTTCTGATTGTTATTACAGGAGGGTTGTGTGATATTCAGGGGCATGTTGCCCACCAGATGAGAAACAGACGGTCAGGGTTTAACTCAGAGCTACTGTTGTTTACTTAAACAGTGTTTGCAGCTGTCATATGAATCCTRATCCTTTGACTCCAAATTGTGTATTATCCTTTAAAAAATCAGAGCTATCAGCTTATATTCAGTTTATGAAGCTTTTAGAAACACAAACGTAACAAAATTACTGAAATGCATTCACATTTTCAGCAGCTGCCGGCACAATTATTCTCTTTTTGTTACCCAAATTGTGTCTGGAGCCAGAGGTGGGATTTATTCCAATTAAATCAGTCACCAACCACCAGAGGGCACTCTTGCACTTAATTATCATTCTAGGAATTTATTGGGTCTTCTAACCTTGTGCCTTTGTCCTGATGTTTGTCTCACTTTAACCACAATGGGTTTTGGACTTATGTTTGCTGCRGGATTTTAGATTTGTAAAACAATTACATGAAACCTGAACAGATTTAACTGTGTTTCCTCCACTCTCAGGCCCTGCATGGATAATTTCCTGACTAAACGTGTTGCTTTGTGAGCCACGGGCAGAACTCACCGTGTTCTCCACTGRAGTGGGTTGTCTGACCTCGGGTCGTCTGGTGGCGCCGATCGCCTCTGTCCAGGAATCGGCTCTCTGCTGCAGACTTCCTCCTGTCTGCCACAGAACACAGGGAATGATCATGAAGGAATTTATGTTACTAATAAATACAAATATTTAGATTCATTTAAAATATTTAACTAGATTAAAAAACTCCAGTGGGACAGAGATCTCATTTTCAAAGGGGGACCTAGACAAGGAAACAATTAAAACAATAAAAAAAACAATAAAAGAAATGTATTTGTTTCTTGTTTCCATGTGRGTACACATCATCATCAGGACATTTTTGTTTGCAGACTTTTTTCAGTCTTTTTCTTTTTGTTGAAAATGAAAACAAAGTGCTTGAAAATCTGTTTTTACGAGTAAATAATGTATTTAACTGACAACTTTAAAATGCACTTATAACTCAATGCACTTATAAATCTAACTGTCAGAATCCCCAGAACTCACAGACAAATRATAATGTCAGAAGAGACTGAGGGTTTTATCAGCTCAGATGGAGCCAGTGGATGTTTTCTTTGAACTTTCCCACGAGGTTCAGGGTATTCCAGCTGATCCGCATCCAGAAATGTAGCTGGTGCTATTCCTCTGCTTTCAACTTCACCAAAAGTGGCTAAAGCCTGATTTGTCATGGCACTTTTTGAAAAWAAAAACTGATCTTTGTTCAAAGAGGTCACTCGGTACATGGACTTCTCGCAGTCACCAGATTCCTGGCAGTTCAGTTCAAATCAGTCCTGGAGTCTTTTAAATTTCATGGATCTGAGAGTGTCCCTATGATGGACGTAGACCCCGCCCCTCACTCAGTRACTGYTAGAGACGAGCACCAGTGAYCCCTGCAACCCRAAAAGRAAGCAGGGGGTTAAAATGTTGGATGGATGGACGGATGGATGGATGGATGGATGGATGGATGGATGGATGGATGGATGGATGGATGGATGGATGGATGGATGGATGGATGGATATCACAGGTCATTTTCAATCATTATTTTAAGCAGTTTTAGAGTCGCAGTAGTAAAATTAATACATCAGGCTGTACCATTAATTTTCTCAGGTCCAACATGAAATAAAAAATAGGTACAAAAAAGTTCCCTCATTTCTACTCTCAGTGTTATTGTTAACAGCTAGGTTTTTGTTCCATATTTATCCACCTGTTTCCTCTGGACACAGAACAGTAATCTTCAACCATTCTGTGTGGCTGCCCCCCCTCCCCCCCACCTGCCTTTGGAACTCCCTCCCTGACCTTTTAAGGGCTCCACCATCACTGGTTGGCATTTAAAAAAGGCTTAAATACTTTTCTTTTTGGACAAGACTATTCTGACTCTGTTGGAAGGCCTCATTGATTTTAGATGTTTCTAACAAGGCTTAAAATTGAGCCTTTCCCACATCTGGCTGTTGTTTTTATTAGTGTAATACTTTTTTTTTTATTTTTTTTATTTTACTAGTTGACTAGATTATACTGTGTTTTGCTGTCTGGCAGGATGACATTTTTGCTAATGAAAAGTGTGTTACAAGCTAAATTCATTATTATTATTATTGTTATTATTATTATTATTAGTAGTAGTAGTAGTAGTAGTAGTAGTAG